GAAAAAAGGGAGAAAGCACAAATAAACAGGATCATCAATGAAAGAGGAGAAATCACAACGGACACAGCAGAAATCAAAAGAATAATCAATAACTACTATGAACAGTTATTGGAAACAAGTTTAACAATCTAGAGGAGATGGACAAATTCCTACAACTTACAATCACCAAAAGCTAGATAAAGAAGAAATAGAACACCTAAACAGACCAATTACAATTAGCAAAATTGAAATGGTAATCAAAAACCTCCCCAAAAACAAAAGCCCAGGACCTGATGGATTTACAAATGAATTCTACCAAACATTCAGAGACGAATTAGTGCCTATCCTTCACAAACTCTTCCAAAAAATTGAGAAGGAAGAGACAATACCAAACACGTTCTATGAAGCCAACATTACACTAATACCAAAACCGAACAAGGACAACACAAAAAAGGATAACTACAGGCCAATCTCCCTAATGAACACTGATGCAAAAATCCTCAATAAAATTTTAGCCATCAGAATCCAACAATGTATCCATAAGATAATTCATCACGACCAAGTAGGATTCATTCCAGGGACACAAGGATGGTTTAACATCCGAAAATCAATCAACGTTATCCAACACATCAACAAAAAGAAAATAAAAAACCATATGATAATATCAATAGATGCTGAGAAAGCTTTCGACAAAGTGCAACACCATTCATGATAAAAGCCCTTGAAATTCTTGGGATACAAGGAACATACCTTAACATCATAAAGGCCATCTATGACAAGCCAACAGCCAGTATCATTCTCAATGGTAAAAAGCTGAAAGCAATTCCATTAAGATCTGGAACAAGACAAGGATGTCCACTCTCACCACTGCTTTTCAATATAATACTGGAAGTCCTAGCCAGGGCAATAAGACAAGATAAAGACATCCAAGAATCCAAATAGGGAAAAGAAGAAGTCAAACTATCACTATTTGCAGACGATATTGATATTATACATAGAGAACCCCAAAAACTCCACAGAAAGCTAATCAACTCATCAATCAGTCAGTAAAGTGCAGGATACAAAATCAACACGCAAAAGTCAGTAGCCTTCCTATACACAAACAATAAATCTGAAGAAGAAGAAAATCAAAAAAACCATCCCTTCGTTATTGAAACAAAAAAAATCACAATATTTGGGAATAAACCTAACAAAAGAGGTAAAGGACCTATACAAAGAGAAAACTATAAAACACTGTTAAAAGAAATAAAAGAAGAAGACACAAAAAGAAATGGAGAGACAATCCCTGCTCATGGATGGAAAGATAAACATTATTAAAATGGCCATCCTTCCGAAAGCAATATACAGATTCAATGCTATTCACAATCAAAATTCAATGTCATTCTTCAAAGAAATAGAACAATTATTGATGAAATTCATATGGAATCACAAAAAACCCCGAATAGCCAAAGCTCTCCTGAAAAAAAAAGAAGGGAATGGAGGCATCACACTCCCAGACTTCAAACTCTACTACAAAGCCATAATCATCAAAACCGCATGGTATTGGAACAAGAACAGACATACAGACCAATGGAATCGAATAGAAAATCCAGAAATAAACCCACAGATTTATGGTCAACTAATCTTTGACAAAGGAGCAAAGACTATGCATTGGAGCAAAGAAAGTTTGTTCAATAAATGGTGCTGGGAAACTGGGTCGCTACATGCAAAAGAATAAAGCTTGACCACTACCTCACACCATACACAAAAATCAACTCAAAATGGATTAAAGAATTAGACATAAGACCTGAAACCATAAAATATATAGAAGGAAATATAGGCGAAACACTACGTGATTTGCACATCAAAGACATCTTTACAGACACATCACCCAAAGCAGTGATAGTGAAGGCGAAGATAAACAGCTGGGACTACATCAAATTAAAGAGCTTCTGCACAGCAAAAGAACAATAACAAAAACAAAGAGAAATCCCACCAACTGGAGAACATTTTTGCACCCAACACTAATGATAAAGGACTGATCACAAAAATCTGCAAAGAGCTGATGAGACTCAACAACAACAAAGAAAATAATCCAGTCAAAAATGGGCAGAAGAGCTAAAAAGAAACTTCTCTGAAGAGGAAATGCAAAGGCCAACAGGCATATGAAAAAATGTTCAACATCACTTGTCATCAGGGAAATGCAAATCAAAACTACCATGAGATACCATCTTACACCAATGAGAATGGCACATATTAAAAAAAACTAGCAACAACAAATGTTGGCGAGGGTGTGAAGAAAAAGGAACTCTTCTGCACTGTTGGTGGGAGTGCAAACTGGTCCAACCACTGTGGAAAGCTGTGTGGAGATTTCTGGACCTACTAAACATAGAGCTTCCATATGATCCAGCAATTCCACTCCTAGGTATTTACCCAAAGGACACAGAAACATCAATTCCAAAGAACACCTGCACCCCTATGTTTATAGCAGCACTGTTTACAATAGCTAAGCTTTGGAAACAACCCAAATGCCCAAAAATAGATGACTGGATCAAGAAGATGTGGTACATATATACCATGGAATATTACTCAGCATTCAAAAAAGATAAACACATGCAATTTGCAGCAACATGGATGGCGCTGGAAGGGATCATGCTCAGCGAAATAAGCCAAAAAGAAAAAGAAAAATACCGGATGGTCTCACTCATAGCAGGAATCTAGAAAACTTAAATAAGGGACCAGGAAAATGAATAACTATAAGAAAGTGAAAATCAAAATCAACAAAAAAACTATGAACCAGAGACACTTTTAGGGGGGCAGGGGCAGGAGGGGAGGGATTGGGGTCAGAATGGGGGGGCTGCAATTGTATGGGGAATATAACAATAAAATTTATTATCTAATTAAAAAAAATAATAAATAAATAAATAAATAAAAATAATAGCTGCAACAGGATTCTTTGATTGAAAATCAGATACTCAAAGTAACTTATACAAAAAGAGAGGACCATGGATCATTGGATCATGTAAATAAAGAAATAGGTGGATCTGGCCTGCAGCAATGGCTGGATCCAGGGGTTCAAAGGATGAAGGAGGCAAAGGATCCATGGGAAAGGTAGTCACTCTTCAGAGCCTTCACTGAAAGGCACGAGAAGGTCCTGGAAACTTAACCCCTAGTGGAACCATCTCTATGGTAAGAGAGGTGGTCATATAACCTCCCACACTTGTGGGAGACACTTGATCAGCACACTTGCAGAAATGGATGTCCCTGCAGGAGAAAAGTTCTATTAAATCTGCAAAGGATGCTGTGTAGGTAATCTTTCCACTTCTGTGCTGTGTTTCTGTTAGTTTTTTTGTGTTGCTTTTCTCTTCAACGTCCACAGACAACATCCATTCACATTCACCATCTCTCTCCCAAAAGGAGAACTTAAGGACGTCTACCCCATTTCATAGCAGAAGAAGCAGAGGTTCAGAGACCAATGCAAGCTGCCCAGTGAGAGCAGAACTAGGACCATAGGCCTGACCTTCAGCTGCATGGCCCGGAGCCTGGTCTCCCTCTGGGGTGATGGAACTTGATAGTCATGCTTCTGGTGTTGTCATTTGTCATTATGTGTGTGTGTGCTTAGAGTTCATTTGTAGCCAATGTACACATTTAAACTCTATCGCCATTTTTATTATCATGTGTTGGCATAGCTGCATTTTTCAGTTTCCTGGGGGTCTTTTAATTTGGAAATAGCCAGGCCTCTCTTAATCTGAGGCTCTGCTAATGCCCACATGTGGAGCTCATAAGCTACATTTCTTCCTCCTCCAGAAAAACCTAGAGGGTATGTGAACCTAAAGCAGGGATTCCCCCACCCCTGGCTGGGGAAGCTTTAAAGGATAAAAATAGTAAGTCCTGCCGATGTCACATTTCTCTCGATAGGATATGGACAGGGCCTTTCTTCTGATAGTCCTCCTCAAGCCCATAACCCCAGTTAATCACAAGAAAACATCAGATGAACCAAAACTGAGATTCTATACAATGTGTCAAGGTCAAGAAAAACAAGAGCCAGAGGCCCTGTCACAGAGCAGAGAAACGAAAGAGAGATGATGACAAGTTTAAGGTGAGTTCCTGGGACACAGAGGGGACCTTCGTGGGTCATTGGTGACTCTGAATGGTTTAGTTAGTAGCACTGCACCAGTGCCAGCTCTCAGAGCTAATAAAGATACCGTGATTATAGAAGATGTTGACTATGAGGAACTGGGTGGAGGGTCTGTAGGCATGCTCTGTGTACTACCTTTGCAGCTCCACTATACATCTAAAGTTACTCCAGAATAAAGCTCAAAACAATTTAAAACGCTCAGACTTCATTCAAACCAACTTCTGATTCAAATCAGAATCTTGGGTATTGGGAGGTCTCCGGGCGATTCAAAGGTACAGGAAGGGTGGAGAACCAGAGATCAGACACTCCAGCCATGAGCTTGGGCATCAGAATCCCCTGCAGAGCTTATTAAAATAGGTTGCTGGCCAACATGGATGGAGCTAGAAGGGATCATGCTCAGGGAAATAAGCCAGAAAGAAAAAAGAAAAATACTGGATGGTCTCACTCATAGCAGGAATTTAGAAAACCTAAATAAAAGACCAGGAAAAAGACTAATCAATGCAAAGCGATAATCAAAATCAACAAGCAACTATAAACCAGAGACACACTATGGGGGGGGGGGGGCAGGGAAACAGGGAAAGGAAGGACTAGAGTCAAAATAAGGGGGGGGTGCAATTGTATGGGGAATATAACCAAAATGAAAATGCATACATTGTGCAAAGATGAAAAAAGATGTAAGAATTATATAAAATAAAATAGTTAAATAAAAAATAAATTAAATTTTAAAAAAGAGTTAAAAAAATAAAATAAAATAGGTTGCTGGCAAGGGACTATGGTGATGGTACACGGGTGAATTGGTGGTGGAAATTTTCCGAGGACTATAACCGAAATGAGAAAGCATGCATTGTACAAAAAATGAAGAATAATGTAAAAAATATATAAAATAAAATAGTTTGCTGGGCCCCACCCTGGCGACTGTGATTCATCAATCTCACACACGGGGCCTGAGAATGTACACTTCTAACAAGCTCTCAGGTTGTGCTGATGCTGCTCCTGGAGGCCCCACCTCTAGAACCAGGGCTCCGGATCCTGGCCGCTCATTGTGGCCTGCAGACCAAAGCCTCAGTGGGAGCTTGTTAGAGATGCAGAATCTCAGACCCACCGTGTCAAAACCTGTGGTTTCATAAGAGCCCAAGTTATTCATCTGTTTATGTGAAAGTTTGAGAAGCCCCTCTAGAAGGAAAATGCAGGGGGATAGCATGGGAGCTGGTCTGGCAGGGGTAGGGACAGGGGGCTTAAACCCTCACCACTTCACCAGGCTGGCCTTTCCTCTCATGCAAGGGAAAGAGAAAATAGGAAAAACAACACACAGTGTTTCTATTAGCTCAAAATGAAACTATTAAGCCAAATGCAGAACTGGGCAGAAAGAGCATTTTCTGCCCCCAGCAGTGCTGGCCAGGGACAGGGTGACCTGCCTAGGAGAGGAGCTGGCTGATGGACGGACTGAGGCAGCAGCCAGAGAAGCCAAGTCAACCAAGCCAGGAGGCACTCACCACGGGAAAACCGACATGGAAGCTATGGTCCAAGGTGTGATATTTACTCTGCTGAAGGACGACCTCATCCTTCCTTTAGGAGACAGTGCCAAGCCAGTGTGCGCAGCTTCAAGGCAGACTTCTTCATAGGCAAGCAGGAGGGAGGGCAGGGAGAGAGGGAGAGAAGGGAAAAGAAAGGAGGCAGGGAGAAAAGGAAGGAAGGGGGGGTGGAAGCAGAACTTTCTTGAACAAATGGGCCTTTACCAAAAGGTTTGCAAACTTAACACTTGGGGAACTGGCCTCCCGGTTCCCCCTGGCCAGTCACCAGCAGCAGTGGCACCATTTCAAGGCCTCTCATTAATGACCGATGCTCAGGATCCAGCCCAGCAAACATCAGTGCTCCAACAGGCCAGGCTGCCAGGTACACAGCACCCTCTGAGGCTTTGCTCTCCAGCCAGTGGAGACCTTGCCCAGTCAGCAGTGCCCAGCTTAGACCCCAGCTCCTCCTGGCTGCACCTGTCCTGGCCACACCAGCCTGATGTCACTCCACAGGGCACTGCCTAGTGTAACTCACATTTGCTCACGCTGAGGCGAATGTACCCTCCCACCTGGAATGTCCCACCTGGAGGCTCTGCATGGTGCTGCTGAGACTGTAGATGCTCATATTCTGGAGCCCTCCAGACATGGCAGGAGGCCCTGGGGAGGCGAGAGGGTGACTCTGATCCCGGGGTGGGCTCCAGGACAGAGAAGGGACCAGGGTGAAGATCTGAGTAGATGCTCACCAGAGCTATGGATGAATCACAGACTAGAGGCCAGGAGAGAACCAACTCCTACTGCTCTGGTAGCCATGGCCAGTGGGCCAGCGGCCAGTTGATAAACATGTCTCCTCAAGCCAAGTACACAAGACACCAGTGTGACAGTTACACAGTAAAGCATTTGTCTGGTCTCTGTTCCTGCAGTGCTCCTGGGAGATAACCTCTAACTCCTCGGACTTTCTAGATTGACAGGAGTATCATCTTTCATGATGTGCTGGCTGGGTCACACCTGAGCTTATATTGATGACTCAGAATGGGGGGCAGGGGTGATATCAGCCCTGCCTTATCTGCGGAGGAATGGAGGGGGGCAGTCTGGAGGTTGGGTTCAAGTAGAAGATCAATAATTCAATTAATCAAGACTACAGAACAAAACCCTATCAAAACTCTGAACACGAGTTCATATATCCATGTGCAGAGAATTCTGGGTCCTGCTTCTTCTACTGGAGAGCACAGGTTTGCCTTCAGGACTCCCAGACCTCGCCCTATGTCTCCCTTCATTTGTCCTGCCCTGATGTGCCTCCTTTATAATAAAACTGCAATCACCAGTATAGTGATTTCCTGAGTTCTGTGTCTTTCTAGCAAATGATTAAATCTAAGAGGGTTGTGGGAAGCCCCCGAGGTAGTTGGTTGGTCAGAAGTGCAGGTGGCCTGCGGACCCCCAACCTGCAGCTTGTGACTGAGGTGAGGCCAGTCCTATGGGAACCGTGCCCATGAGCCCATGGAGTGCCACTGCCAGGGAGTGGTGAGCGTCCGTGTCGGATTGCTCTGCAGTATCATCGAGGTCCGAGTCGAGGTCCCCGTCTCAGGTGCCAAGGAACATGAAAACAGGAATGCCTTTTTCCAGAAATTTTCATTTTCCTTTACCTATTCCCTTTTCCTGCCTCCACTGAAAATCCAATTTCCTCTAAAATCGGGGGGCTTGAGACCCAATTCAGGAGCAAGTGTAACCCATATTTACAGCACTATAGAATAAAAAACAAAACATGGACCTCTATTCAGCAGCTGTGTGACTTTAGGCAAATTGCTAGGCCTCTCTGAGCCTCGATTCCCTTCTCAGTAAGAGGCGGGAGGCTATTAACCTGTCCTCTGCATAGTGTTAATGGCACAATTCAATGATGTCACTTATTTACCAAGAGCCTAGCAGTCTCTCCCAGCCTACTCCCAGCCTATTTTCAAACTTCCCATATCCCAAGCATTCCCCACCTTTCTGCTCTCCTTGGAAAACTGTTTTGGGTGCTGGGTCCACTGGCAACATGCTGATGTTTTAGATCCCAGGGCAGCGAGAAGCCAACCATTAAACCAAAAGCGAAAAGCAAGTAACCATTACCTTGAACAAAAAGGACATTTATATTTACTTCAGTGGCTATAAAAGATACCATAAAATATAATATGCAGCATGCATCTTCGTGATTAATAACAGATCTTGCAAATTATTCTCTCGGGTTCCTGGGTGCATCCAACTGGTCACTAAGAACAATTAATTCTTTCAGAAAATAAAGGAGTCTTGAAATTATCTCTGGTTAGTGAAAAGACTGCTTGCATTATGAATAAGAGAACAGAAAATGAGACTCAAATTTGGGGGGTTTTGCTTCTGTGAATGGGGTGCAGTAAGATCGGAGAAATTCAAATACAATTAACATCTGAGCACAGTGCTCAGCAAGAGCTGGGACCTGCCAAGGCTGGAGTCTGAAGCCTAGAGGTTGTCCAGGACAGGTGCTGGCACCAAGCCAGCAGGCAATAGATGGAAGCACAGGGTCCAGACAGGTGACAGGGTCCAGACAGGTGACGGGGCTTCAGCTTGGAGTCTGAGCCGCAGTGACTAAGGCTCGGACTCCAGCCTCCAGGACAGGGTCTGGTCATCGAACGGCAAACCAAAGGGTGAGTCAGGAAACAATTCATGGAACAGGTCAGGGCCAGGGCACTGGAGGAGGTGAGCATGCAGGAGATCAAATACAAGGTTTCAGCAGAGTCTGAGCTCCTAGCCTTGGGCCTCCTAACTCCTGCAACCAAGGTCTCAGTCTTAGAAGGTGAGAAAAGCAGGAAATGGTCACACAGTGAGAGTCTAGAAGGATCACAGCGGCATGAAGCCAAGCAGAAGACAGTGGCACGTGGTACCCAGGTCTACTGTCACAGGCTAGACAACACGATTCACTTCCAACCTCAGTAAAAATCCCACCCACCAGCCCTGCCCTGAAACCCTTCAGGGTTTATTTATGGAAACACAGTCCCTAAAACACCACAGGGTTCCCTTGACAGCGGGGAGCCCAGGGAGGCCGTGGGGCCTGCCTGGGGTGCCAGCCACCTCCTTAGCCAGCTCAGGGGCACCATGAGCTCAGAGACGGGGCTTCTCTCCCACCATGTTCAAGTTCCCAAAGCGAACATGCCCTCAGTGGACACACGGCCCCTCCTGAGCACAGGAAGGGCTAACAGCAAGGGGGAGACACCAACCCCACAGCACACGGGAAGGAGAAAGCAGGCTGCTGTGCCTTCTCCCCGGCAGGGAGAGAAGCCTGTTGCCTGGAGCAGCTCTCAGGCCCCCGACAAGGGCTGCGGTGCGGGAATTCCAGAGGTAGAGGACGTGACGCCGTGAATGGGGACTCCGGGCCGCCTCATGGGAGAAACAGGGCAACCAGGTGGAGACACGACTGAAGAGCGAGGCGTGAAAGACTCCTTGTCACCCCAGAAAGGGGTAGCGGCTAGCGAGTCCACTCAGTGCAGAGCAGCAAACAGCCAGCAGAGCAGCGCCGAGACCCAGCGGGCCGGCCGCAGCCCCTTCACGTGCAGGATGAGTTCGTGGAGGCTGATCTGCCATAAGTTGAAGACCTCGCTGAACGAGATCTGGGTCCTTCTGAGGAACGAGCAGGTATTCTTCTTCTGGTGCCTGCACGTGAAGGGGCGAGAAGGAAGGAGAGAACATGAGATAAAGAGACAAGAAAATGGAAGAGCGACCCTCCTCCCTGGCCGGGGGACGCCTCCCAGCTCCACAGTCCCCTCTCTGCCCAATCAGCCTTCCAGATCCGCAGCCAACTGTTCCGAAGCCGCGCTCGAGGTAAGTGGGGGGAAGCAAAAGCAGTTGTTTCACGGGGCATCAAATCCAACAGGGCCCACTGAATAGAATATTCCAATGTTTCTCTTTCCAAAGCTGGAAAGCTGGTCAGGTGGTCCTGGGGGACCAGTCTCTGTGGATTCAGCCCAGCTCAATCCCTTCTACACCAACAAAAGGACACATCAAAAATTGGTGTTCATAATAATAACAGATTCAAGACTGTGTCCTGAACCCTCAGGGGAAGAATAAATCCTATCCAGCCTTTCAGCGTGCAGCCTACTTTGCTATAATTTGATATTGGATAGTAATGCCTGATGTGTGTGGCCAACTTCACCAGTTTGCCAGAAGGTCCCATCCTCTGCCTGGGACAGATGGGCTGGGAGCTGGCCACAGTCCAGGGCTCCGCAGTCAGCTGAGATCATTCACCCAGAGATGGGCCTTCCATGTATTTGCCGCCCTTAGGTAGAAGGACCTAGGGAAGCACCTTCCCCTTCCTCCTCAATTCCCCAAGGGTGCTGAGGCAGCTAGGAAGAGCTGAAAGCCCTCTTCCCTCACACCACCCCAAGTCACAGCCACACTGGCCTCGCAATCTGGCCTGGGAGATGGTCCTGGGGCCTGTTAGAGATGGCACCTGCATCAGAGCACCCTGATGCCACACCCAGGGGCCACTTGGGTGGAGCTGAGATGCTCAGAAAACTTCCCAACTTTACTAAGGTTAAGAATCACCTGGGAAACTTGCCCACGAGGGCATGGTCTTCGAATCCACTGCCCCACAACAACAGGGGCTCTCTAGACCACCCAAAGCCACCACCCTGAGGCATCAGCAAGCTCTCGGCAACTGTTTTCTGCCCCTAGCTTCCTGGAGATTGGGGAGCTCAGGCAGAGCCCTGGGGACCAGTGGGAGAGAGTGGAGGCGAGCAGGGGCCCTGGGGAGGGGGTGAGAGCCCAGAGCCCACTCACATGGCCAGTGCCCTAATGCAGCAGCGCGACATGTTGAGGAAGGAGCTGGCACTGGCGCGGGTGCCCAGAGAGGCCTCGATGCCACGCAGTAGGTCGTTGGTCTTGAAGATGAGTAGCATCTGCCGTGGCACGTGGTTGAGGAGCTGGCTGATCTGGGGGAGGTAGTTGGCCGCGTTGTTGCGGATCTCTAAGTCCTAAAGCAGCAACAGGGAGAGAAAAAGAGACAAGCATGGGAAATAGAACCCGGGGTGGGGGGGAGCAGGGTGACAGTATCCGGGTAGCCTGAAACCTGGGGGCTGCAAGGAAGCTCCTGGACGGTACTTCAGTACCACTGGGAAACTCCCCCCCACCCCCACCCCAGGGACATTTAGCACAAGGCCTTGGCTTTATAGCTGATGGAGCATCTTGCCCCAACTTCTGGCCAAGCACAGGATGTAGGACAAAAGCACGTGAGTGGGGCCAGGCTGTGTCCCTGCCATGCTGCCTCCTCATCATCAAGGTCAACAATACCTACCCCCCAAACTCCAAGCCAGGACTGGATAGAGCAGCAAGTCTACTTCCCACCACTCAAGGTCATATCACCAGGAAGAAGGGGTGCTAGAGTTGAACCCAGTCTTTCTAACAGCATGAGGGAGACCCTGTCCATGCCAGTGAGCATGCACCCAGGCTGAGGCCAAGCACATCTACCACAGGGTAAAGGCAAGTCTGGGTGCAGCAGACCTCTCCTGTGTCACCCACTGCTCCCCTCAGCAGTGTGTTTCGGTCAGTCTGCCTGTTCTGCTCCCACTCTGTCTCTGGTGAACCCTCTCAACCCCCATACCTCTGGCCTATACCCCAGTTCTTGTATGCATAAATAATAAATCTAAATAAATAAATAAATAAAATAAAGGCAAGTCTACAGGAGTCCAGGATAGCCTGGGAAGTCAGAGGTCAAGTCCAGGAGGGACTAGAAGGTGAAAGTCCTGTCGAGATAGTGAAGGGAAGAAGGAGCACAGGGAGGGGATGTTCCTGGGATCAGCCTCAGCCCAGACTCTGTGGACACTTGTCGGTGTGCAACAGAGAGCTGAGCAACAGAGAAACACTGAAGAACTGACCCACTAGGAGCTCCCAAAACAACGGGACCAGATGCACCTTGGAGCACCACCTGAGGAAGTGAAGTCCTCCCCCAGAAGGACACCCCAGGGAACCACATGATGGGAGACGGTCCCCAGAAGAAATCAGTGGCAATGGTGCCAGACTGATCCATGAGCTGGTCCCTGGGGGTCCCCAGAATCCTGGGAGGGAACTGGAGAATCACTGACGCTGGGTTGGGAGGTGCCCAAAGGCCATCCCTGGCCCTGCCCCTTGCATTCAGGAAAGGGCAGCGTCACGAGGGCCACCTACCTCCGTGGCAGTGACCGGAGCTTGGCCAATGCCCCTGATGACTGAGTCCCACGACCGGGCCGTCAGCATGCAGGCGAACAAGGGGTAGAGGTCCCCAGCACCCAGGCGCTGGCTGTACTTCTTCACCCTCTTCATGTCAGTCCAGATCAGTGACTGCCAGAGGTGGCAGTAATCTAGTCGGAACTCCTCTGTGAGCACCTGCGAAGGGGCAGAGCCTGAGCCTCCTCTCCCCAGAAAGGGCCTGGGCTGCTGACCTCTGCGAGGGGCACAGAGGGAGACATGGCTGCCATGCAATGCCTGCTTCCTTCCCCAAGTTCAGTCTCCCTGAAGGCCATGTGCAAAGCTACTATTTGACCAGCCTTGGTCTCGAACGGCAGAGACCCCAACTGCCCATCAAAATCTGTATTTTCTTCTTCCCAGGTACAGGCTATATTCCAGCGGCCCTCCTCCTTCCATGCAGCCCTCCGCCGGAACTCCAGTTGATGGAGTGTGACCGCAGCTCCACTTCCAGGTCCAGACCATGAAAATTTTCCACGCATTCTCCTCGGAGCCCTCAGCCCTGCAGCTGGTGGACCTGCCCCCGCGAAAAGGCCCAGGAAGCCCTGGTCTTTGGGGTCCACCCCCCCAGGATGGGTAGGTGAGGAGGCAATTAGACATCAGTTGTGCCTGAGCCACCATTTGTTTGGGGGCTGTGGGTGACAGCAGCTAGCCTTGAGCTAGAGCACCTAACTCCACAGAGGGTTTCAAAGGAAGCCAAGATGTTGGGGTATGAGAACAGGATCCTGAGGAGAGGAGCAGGAGGCCATTGGGGAAACCTCCCCAGGACCATGGAATCAAACCAGGCCACAGACCCTGGGATTGGCAGTGAAATTTGCAACTGCTAGGCAGGAACTCAAGGCTCATTTAAACCAGCTGTGTCCCAAGTTCCAGAGTCTGGGCCCTCCAGTGCCTCTCAGTTCCCCAACCCCTTTCTACTACGTCTCACACCCTGAGGGGCTGAGTTAGCCATCCTGCTGAAGTCTCAGCTGGTATTAAGGGCAGCTCACTTCCCAGGGACTGGGCTGGCCTGGGCTTCCCTGGGAAGGCAATGTTTTTACAGTTTACAAAGCACTTTCACACATGCAGGCACATTCCCTTAACTGCTCACAACCGCCCCAGAGAGGTGTTATCAACCTCAATTCACTGAGGAGGAAGCTGAGAGCTCACAGAACTGTGACTTGCACAAAATGACATCTCAGGGTATAGCGATGGGCCCAAACCTGCTTCCCACCTCTGAGGACCTGGGGGAGTTGGCGGGCTCTGCACCAGGCAGGGCCAGAGCGGGCAGGCTGGTGGAAAGGGCCTCTCCTACCTGATAGAGCCCATGGTCCAAGAGGATGACCTCAGTCTTCCCCGTGTCCGGGTGCTTCCGCACCAGCACGTTGCCTGGATGGGGGTCGCAGTGCACAAAGCCATTGACAAAGATCATCTCACTGTACATCTTGCCCAGGTGGCGAGAGATCTGAAAGAGAGAGGATGCAGGTAGGAGTCTGCCTGCTCTGGCCCCTCAAACTGGTGACTTTCCAGAGGAAGCTTGGTGGGGCCAGGTGGGCAGCCGTGGGGCAGCGACAGCTTGAGGGCACCTACTTCTCGAACTTCAGAATGGAGCCTGCTCTAATGCACTTCTTCTTACCAACTTTAGCTGCACAACAGCATCACCTGGAACGCAGGAGTGTTGGGTGGCACCCAGGCATTAGCATTTCCAAGGTGGCGATTTTAATGCACAGCAAAGCAGAACCAATGCTCCCAGTTCTTCCAAAGGGGGTAATGCCCACTTCCCACACCCGCCGCTCCACTTATCCCCCATTTTTCTCTTCCTTATCTCTTTCTTATCAGTCTCTCTTCATGTTTTCCCCAAAGCTGAAGCTGGGCTAGAAAGCTGGAGTGGGGGTCATCCACCTGGCCCCACCAGCCTCCACGGCCACCCCACCACTAACAGGCCAGTCCCAGGTGGACCAGAGTCACCAGCCTTTCTCCCCTCTCCCTGCAGGCCCCTTCTTTTCCCCCCGCCACAGCCCAATGCTAATCTGATTTATGATGTCTGCACAGAAGAAATGACACTGGAGAGGCCATTTAAATCATCCTGTCACCGCTGCTCTCCCTGCTGAGGCAGACTTCTTATCTCGACTCCCTTTTTATTAAAGCTAAAAGCCTCTTCCCAGTCAGGGAACAGCTGCTGAAAAGAGCCAGACCTGGGCCTGCAGATGGTCGGTGGATGGGTTTCCATGGGACCAAGAGATTTTCCACCCAGAGAGCTGGCACCTCAGGACACATCCGCCCTTGGCCTTCCTCTTGACCTCACTGGAACCCATGGTCACTAACATATCCCAACCATGGCAAGACGAGCTGGGGCCCATAGGGTGGGGAACAAGGATTAGGGTCTAACTCCTTTCCCTGCCCTACAAAGTCTTCCCTCTCCAGTCTCATCTTGGACTACAACACTCCAGTCGCGTCCACTGTCTTTCTCTTCTCCAATGATCCCTGTGCCTTCCTACCTCAGGGCCTTTGCACGTGATAGTCTCTCTGTCAGGAGCATTCCCCCTCTCTTCCCTTCACCTGTCACTTCTCTCTTCTTTCCCATCCTAGCTGACTGGGATTCCCACTAGCTCCTTTGGGAAGCCTTCCCTGACCTCCCAGACTAAGTGAGAGTTTCCTTAAACTCTTATAGGTTGTTTTTCTTTTCTTTCATGGCACTAGTACACTATTTATGTCATTATCTGATTAATGGCTATCAAGCCCACTATCAAAGTGGCAGGGACTGGTTCTATTTTATTAAACAACTTCATTGAGATATAACTTACCTACCATACTCTGGCCCTATACGCATCCACTTGCCTGTACTAGGTTAACCATGTGATTTAGGACGCTTTCTTCAACACAAGTGCAACCCTTGTCTCTCCAAAGGTTGGGTGTTTTTGTTTTGTTTTGTTTTGTTTTGTTGAGATGCTGTGGTTTTATTTCTCTGATGCTAACCCCAACCCCATTACTCTCTTCTGAAACCAAATCAATTGAATCGACCCTAAAGTGAATCATCAAGAATAACTCAACTTTAGTAACAACAGCTGACTTCCTTAAAACAGCCCAAAAAGTATGTATAATTATGATCGCCATTTTGCCGACAAGGAGCTAACACTTGTGGAGTAAAACCCCCGGAGCTGCACAGTGAGGAAGAGGGAGAGCCAGGATTCAAACCAGATGGAACGCCACAGCCTTCCAGTACCGCGACTCGATACCTTCTGCACTTCTCAATTCCACTTTGTGACCTTAAACAAGTTGCTGAGACTCTCAGCTTCAGTAAAGTGGAACTAATAATAGTGCCACTCTCAAGGGCACTGCAGGAGAGAGTGAGAGCGGCAGCGCCTGGACCCCAGCGACCTCCCCTCTGCACCTCTGCTATTGCTGGTACCGATTCCCCAGGACACTCCTGGGAGGTCGGCAGACTAGGTTTCATGATACCTTTTTAAATGATGAAGAATCTAGAGTTAAAAGGTTTGTCTTAAGCCCTGATACTTATCCTGGGTCACACTTTCCTACTATGACACGAGTGCTCCTGCCGCGTCCCCAGATGAAATGAGCACCTGTGCTTGTGTGGACCTGAGGCACAGGACTTAGCCTGGCCAAGTTCACAGGCTCAGGATGAAATGTCGGGGTCGCAGGTTCCTCAGGGAGGGGCCCAGTCAGAGCTATGCCTGGGTGAGCCAGCAAGTCCCCACCCCTGTGCCACTGAGAGCCCCTTTTGTGAGGCCCTGTAGAACTGCACAGAGCCATGCTCTGAAGGCCAATATTTGCTAAACCAATTGCATTTATTAAGTCATAATTCATTTTTATTTGTCAAGGATGCTTATAAGGTCCAATCAGGGCTCCTGATCAGCCCCAGATAAGCAGTGCAGCCAGACAGAGCTGACGGAATTCCAGCCAAAAGGAGAGAAATGACATTTCATTTAGTCTGGGCAGACCTGTCACGGGGAGATGTATGATCTCCCTTAAGCTTTCTGAAATATTGCTAATCGCTCTGGGCCCCCTATTACTACATTGAAAGATAGTCCCTAGGGGCCTGGGGACTCGGGACAGGAGCCCGTGCCTGTGAGGCGTGAGCTGTTGCTGCCACAGGAGTCAGCAGCGGTGCTGCTGAGAGCAGCTCATATACCACCAGTGAAGACACCAGGGCAGCCTCCTGAATTTGACACCTGTCCAGCTGCCCCCACTTGGATGTCTTCCCACTGCAGGCTGGTACTGATGTTCACTTTAACCAGATTTCACCAGGACAGACAAGTAAGGAAGACAGAAACAGGAGGGGGAGCCAACCTATGCAACCACTTCATTCCGGGGCCATCTCACTACTGCCACTTTGGACAGGGGAGGGGTAACCCCAGGGGCAAGTCATCCCCCTCCTCAGTTTGGGTCCAGGTTCTCTTAGCTGTTAAGTAGAACTAAGTCCATTTGCTCTGCTTCCTCACATCTTGGCCAAGATCTCAAGGCCACATATGGGAAAGTTATTATCACCATATAGACACATAATTGTGGTCAGCTGTTTTTTTGTAGTTTTGGGGGGGAGGTGAAGGATAATGTAGTAGTTTGAGTTAAAATTGGTCAGGGGAGAGAATACCCATTATCACCATCAAAGTATAATTTTCAAAAAGTTATAAACACGATTCATACAAATATAGGATGGACAGGTGTCAAAGATTGTTTCTCTCATCACTAAAGGAGCAAGTAAGAAGGAAAAGCTGGTTCAAAGAGAATTTTGAGGTACTGGATATTTACAGACATTTAAGCAGGAATAAAAGTGAGACTCTTGGATTATATAAAAAGCTGGTTGTTGTCCTACGAGGCAATAAGGAAATCATAACCTCTGGGGTTATCTTTGCTACTGGGTAGAAATTATTTGCATCTCTACCGGATAAGATCTACAGGTTGACATATGACTTCTGTCTGAGCCCTTAATTAATTGTCAGCAGCCAAGTCAAACAAAAGTACATTTCTCTACAAATTAAAAAAAAAAAAATCCTTGTATGTACTGGTTGAACAATGTCCAGAAATGACTTTGAAAGAATCCATTGAATGTTCATAACCTTATTTCTAAATTTTGGATAATTTTTCTTAGCCTCCATCCAGAGTTGCACTAAATAGTATCTAATCTGCTGAGAAAAAAAAGCAGCCAGAGAGGTATGGAGGGTCCCAGAAGAAAGCAAAGGCCACCACTGCACACTCAAGCCTCTCTCCCACCCTCTTCCATAATACTTCAGCTATGTCTCATGCTTAAGGACAAACAATTGAAAATAATGCTGCGATGATCGTGGGGAGTAGATATCTCTTTGAGACACTGATTTCATTTCTTTCAGATAAATACCCAGTAGTGTAATTGCTGGGTCATAAAGTGGTTCTATTCTTAATTTTTTGAGGAACCACCATACTGTTTTCCCCAGGGGCTGTACCAACTCACATTCCCTCCAGCAGTCAGCGAGGCCTCCCTTCTCGCCAAATCCTCACTAACACTTGCTCCCTCCTGGCTTCCAATGGCAGCCACTGGCATCTCACAGAGGTCCTGACCCATATTCCCCTGGGGACCAGTGATGCGGAGCGCCTTTTTGGCCATTCGTACTGTTCATTTCCTCGAAGGCTGCCCCTAATCCTGTTAACATTGGCATCTGCACAAAAACAGGGAGTGCCACCATTTTTCGAGGGACAACAGCTAAGTGTGTGCCATGTACCATTCCAGGCAATTGCAGGGATTCAAAGTCTGCAGAGTTCAGGTGAAGGGAGCAAGATATAAAAAGGAAAAAGAAAGAGGCTGGGTCACCAGGCCAGCGGTAGATACCAGCATCCCAACCCAGGTAGCCTGGCTCCACTCTGAATCACCAGGCCACCTGCCTCTCCACTCCCAGGGAAGCTCCTACCTGGAGGCAGGATTTGCACCTAAAACTTCTGAAGGGTCCCCATGCATCCCAAAAGGTATTCCCTTTGGAGAAGACACTCAGTGGGAAATCCAGGACTGTCTGTCTAACTAAAACCTCACTGTTAACTAAAGTCACAGTTAAGCAAAGCTCTCATTACAAAAAGCAAAAAGTCAATGACAAATCTTTTCATTGTTCCATGTAAAATGAATGTGCCACTCACATAAGTGATTTTGGCAATTACTCACTGCCTTTATTCTTTAACAGTAAGGATGGAAAGAAAAAACTAGGATTCCATAAAAAGGCCAAGTAAAGAATTAATTTAGTAAATAGTATTTAAATCAAAGAATTATTTTTAGGGTTTTTCTCAAACTTGAATTGGCTGCAAGTACTTTAATTATTCTTATTCTACAACTTGCATGGATTAATTTATCCCCCTGCTCCCAGGGATAGTCTGTTTATGTTCCTGGGGGTGCTGTGTAAGAAAAGGCAAGATCTCTGAAAGAAACAGGAGGTTGGTGCCCCTTATAATAAGGGAGTTAATATCCAAACTCTCTTTGCTCCAGGC